TAATCCACACTTATTTGTGACTTGTGGAATGCATATTGACCATTAGATTTTCTGTAACTCAAAGGCTGGGAAAAGATTCTTTCGTTTTTCTCTTTTTGACTTGCCAACTTCTTCTGAGGCAAAGGACATTGACTGGCCTCCTTTGGGTGGAAGAACAACAACAAAGAAAAATGGAAATGTCAAAATGTAAGGGTGGGAAGTGGGGGATGAAGACACATCAATTAATATTTCCAACAATTTATGCAAGTTTCCAACATCCAAGGCCCTCAATTCTTCTCCTTGCCTCCTCTCACCATGCTTCATCTATGTGACATTTTCCTACTTTTCTTGTATTCCATTTCTGTGGCCTTCTTCTCAATAGGATTCCAACTAGTTTACATAGATAGAGATTAATACCTCGGTCTTTCTAACTAACCCCAAATCTATTTAATGGTATAACCAACCATTTTATTTAAAATGTAACATATAATATTGAAAAAATCTTCTTTATTTGTCTCTCCCTTTTATGCTCCATCCAATAGCCACTAGCTACATGTGGCTAAATTCAATTAATTAAAAATAAATAAAATTTAAAACTTGGCTCCTCACTAATACTAACCACATTTTAAATGTCCAATAGCTATGTATAGCTAGCATATTGGGCAATATGTATATAGACGACTTCTACCATCAGAGAATGTGCTGTTGGACCAAACTACTATAGATTATAACTGCCTCAAGGGCAAAAATTATACCTTGTTCACGTCTGTATTTCTCCATTCCAGAATAGCACCTGGCATTTAATGGTCATTAAATATTTGATGAATGAAAGAATGAGTGAGACATGTAAAAGAAAAAAATAGAATGAAATTTCTGAGTATGAATAAGAAAACACAAAAGCCAAACTGAATTTTTATGAAGACAGGAGACCATTCAACATCCAATGGAATAGATTTTCTAAAATTTCCCACTTCTTTGCACCACCAGGCAGGACTCTGCCCATGGAAGGGTGTCAACACAACAAAGGATCCAAATCAGCAGAGGACAAGCAACAAGAATCTGACTGCCTCACACAGGATTAACATTGAAGTGATTGGAGAAGAAACCCTCAACAACATGGAAGCAGCCTTATTACAAGCTGAATATAAAAACAAGGGAGTTCAGCTGGTGCCAGACTTGCAGATTCCCAAGATGCAGGGGATCAAGTCTATAATACTGGGAGAATGTGACTTGTTAGGAGGAAGGATAGTTAAGAACTACCAAGCAACACGAGAAGGCAGGAAACAAAGATTAAAAGAGAACAAAAGTTCACCTGTGACAGATAAAATTACTAATCAGGGAAAAGAAATTCTATTCTCTTCAGCAGCTGATGCTTTTTCTTTCTTCATTTGATGTCTGATAAGAACTTGCTGTGTGTTTAATAAATGGCATCATATTGCTACCACGTGGTGGAAGAGCAAAGCAGCTCCCTTTATCCTCTTATAAGGCACTAATCCCATCATTCCCTTTAGAGGCTTTACCCCTCAGTATCATCATCCTGGGGGGTCAGGCTTCAACATATGAATTTTAAGGGGATGCCCACTTTCATATCATAGAATTTTTCCCTTCTCCAAATTTGTGTCCTCACATGCAAAATACATTCATTCCATTCCTGTATCCCCAAAGCTAACTCAAAAGTTCCACCACCAACTCAAAATCTAAAGTCTCATCTAAATTGGATAGATATAAGACTTAAAAGTTTGATTCATCCTGAAGCAAATGCCCCATCATCATTGGGACTCTGAAGTCAAACTAGTTATGCGTTTCCAATATAATGGTAGGACAGGCACAGGGAAGGCATTTCCTTTCCAAAAGGAAGTAAGAAAGAAGAGATAATAGGTTCCAACTAAACCCCAAATATAATAGGGCAAACATTAAATCTTACAGCTCCAGGATAATCTTGTCTCATTGTTCCACATTCCACACACACTGCCCTCATGGCTTTGCTGAGAGAAACCCACAGAGCAGCTCTACAATACTGGGTCTTTTGACTGTGGCTCTCCCAGACTGGAGCTGCTTCTCGATGGCTTACCCGTCTACAGTCATAGAGGTGAGCCCTGTCCCCACAGCTCTGCTAGGCATCACTCCGTATGGTAGCCCTCACCCTTATAGCTCCACTGGACATTGACCTGAGAGCTGTCTGTGATGACTCTGTCCCTGTGGCTGTTCTCTGCCTGGGCTGAGGTTCTCTGGG